AGCACCCCGCTGCTGATCGCCGCCCGGCACGGGCACCTGGAGGTGGTGGAGTACTTGCTGGATCACTGCGGCGCCCGCGTGGAAGAGGGAGGCTCAGTCAACTTCGATGGGGAGACCATCGAGGGGGCCCCGCCGCTCTGGGCAGCCTCTGCTGCCGGGCACCTGGGGGTGGTGCGCAGCCTCCTGGATCACGGCGCGTCAGTGAACCAGACCACGCTGACCAACTCCACGCCGCTGCGGGCTGCTTGCTTTGATGGGCACCTGGAGATTGTGCGCTACTTAGTTGGGGAGCGTGGGGCTGACCTCGAAGTAGCCAACCGGCATGGACACACTTGTTTGATGATTTCTTGCTACAAAGGGCACCGGGAAATTGCACGTTACTTGCTAGAGAAAGGGGCTGATGTCAACCGCCGGAGTGTGAAGGGGAATACAGCCCTGCATGACTGCGCTGAGTCCGGCAGCCTGGAGATCCTGCAGCTATTGCTCCGCTCCAAAGCCCGCATGGAGAAAGATGGCTATGGCATGACTCCTCTGCTAGCTGCCAGTGTCACTGGTCACACCAACATTGTGGAGTACCTCATCCAAGGAGGGCTGCAGCAGGAAGAGGAGGAGGGTGCAGGAAACCAAAATGGGACCTGTGCATCAGGTGGGAGCCATCAGACGTGCTGCAGTGCTGACAAGGAAACTCCTCAGGGCTGTGATGAAGAGGGCTGTGAGAGATGTTGTGCCTCAGCTTCCAGTCAGGATGAGCAACAGATCTCTAACGTGTTCTGCACTCGAGAGGCTGCTGTGGAAGCACTGGAGTTGCTGGGTGCTACATTTGTGGATAAGAAACGTGATCTTTTGGGAGCCCACAAGTACTGGCGAAGGGCGATGGAGCTTCGGTGTGAGGGCGGGCAATACCTGCCTAAACCTGAGCCCCGGCAGCTGGTGTTGGCCTACGACTATTCCCGGGAAGTGAGTTCGCTGGAGGAACTGGAAGCCTTGATTACTGATCCAGATGAGATGCGCATGCAGGCACTGCTGATTAGAGAGCGCATCTTGGGTCCTTCCCACCCAGACACTTCCTATTACATCCGTTACCGAGGGGCAGTCTATGCTGACTCTGGCAACTTCGAACGCTGCATTAACCTGTGGAAGTATGCTCTGGACATGCAGCAAGGCAACCTGGAGCCTCTCAGCCCCATGACTGCCAGCAGTTTCCTTTCCTTTGCTGAGCTTTTCTCTTACGTGCTTCAGGACCGCTCCAAAGGCACTTTAGCTACCCACTTGGGCTTCTCTGACCTCATGGGAGTACTGAGCAAAGGGGTCCGGGAGGTGGAGAGGGCGCTCGTGCATGGCAAGGACCCTGTAGTTGACTCGGTGCAGTTCACCAAGACACTGGCCATTATCCTCCACCTGGTCTTCTTGCTGGAGAAGGTGGAGTGCACCCCGGAGCAGGAACACCAGAAGCGCCAGACTATCTACCGCCTGCTAAAGTGCAGCCCCCGGGCCAAGAATGGCTTCACTCCTTTGCACATGGCTGTAGACAAAGATACCACGACAGTGGGGCGTTACCCCGTGGGCAAGTTCCCATCGCTCCATGTTGTGAACTTGCTTCTGGAGTGTGGGGCTGACCCAGATAGCCGTGACTATGACAACAACACCCCGCTGCATGTTGCTGCCCGTAACAACTGCCCGCTGATCATGAGTGCCCTGATGGAGGCTGGAGCCCATATGGACGCCACCAATGCCTTCAAGCAGACTGCTTATGAGCTGCTGGATGAGAAGCTGCTCACCAAAAGCATGATGCAGCCCTTCAATTACATTACTCTCCAGTGCCTTGCTGCTCGTGCCCTGGACAAGCACAAGATTCCCTACAAGGGTTTCATCCCCGAGGAGCTGGAAGCCTTCATTGAACTGCACTAGGGCGGGAGAGCTGAAGTCCCCAGCCTTTCCCGTCACCTGTTTCACCCCGCAAAGGTAGTGCAGCCTGGGATCTCAGGCCATCCTTGTCTAGGTGCCGAAGGCCATCGCTGTGCCGAGACGGGCTGCGAGCTTTGTCCTCATCTGTCACCATCAAGCTGGCGCGCATAGGGGTAGGGGAGGAGAAGGCTCGAGAGCTCATGGCTGTCCCTCATTGTTGTCATCTTCAGGTACCAGGTATCTCCAGCGCACTGTATCCAGAGAAGGCCGCAGCCCCTGCCCTTTTCCATACCAACCATCTTGTCCTGAGAAGGAAGGAAAATGGAGATCCCTGGGACCTGCTGCCTCTCCCATTAGTGCTGGATTAACTCAGCGTTAAGCTTTGGAGCAGCTACACGTCACACGTGCTCTAGCCCTTCCCATCCTAAATACCGAACAGATAGGAATGCAAGTGAGGAATAAAGTATCTTCCAACTAATTCTTTCCCCACCCCCTCTCAGATTTGGTACAGTATGAGTCTAACAGCCGAGTGGCCTGTGCTCTGCTGAGGTAGTTGCCTTGCATGGCAGTAGGGCTGGGTATGCTGAGGATGTTTTTTTTTCTCCCTTGGTTGGCCAAGTAGCCAGTGGTGTTAAAGGCCTGAGATTTCAATGATTGTGCATAAAGCTGGGTTATTTTTTCTCTTTTAGAGCCAGGCCCTATCTATGCTGCAAGACTTCTTCAATCCTGTAACATATAGTAAGGTCAGTTCTGGTTATATAGTTTCACCAATAGATGTTGGTTTTTATGAATGGGGAGGAAAAACTAGTACCTTAAAAATAGAATACTAATGTGGTGTTCAGGCCCTTAGCTTGCCCATTCTGCCCATGTTCACTCCCTTCCCCGCTCAGAGATCCTTTAGCTCCAGAGGTCAGCAGGGATTGAGCTGTACAGGGTGGATATGGCCAGGTTTCAGAGCCAAACCAGTGCACTTTGAACCATCTTTGAGGATGCGCTCTTGCAAGCCCTCTAGGATGGGAGGTACTTGTAGCGTGGGTGGTGCTTGGGGGGTTATTAAAGCAAGTGAGTGTTTGTGGCATGTTTGCATGAGGGTGGTCTGAAGGAAGAAGCAAGCAAGAAAAGAAAGTTAAAGGTGCCTTCTTGTTCTTCTGAGGTTTATTAGTATCAACTGATTGGGCTCTGTTAATTATCCCATTCTGAAAACCTACATGGAGTGGGTTGTTAGCATCTGGTTTTGGCTTTTGGTTCTTTTTGTAACTTTACTGAGGATGGTGCTACTTTGAAGATTGAATTTGAAATCTCATTTGGCTGCTATTTGGGCAAGCTCCTTTCTTTAATTAGGATCTGCACACAACTTGTTTTTCTTTTCAAATCCATAGTCTCAGGGTAGGTATTTGCCTCCATTAGCAGAACCCTCCTTGGTGATAAACAGTCAGTGTTGGTAAACATGATGCTGTTCCAGCAGTTTATCTTCTTGCAAGGGGAGTGACTGGGCTTTGGCAGCCTGTGGCTCATTTCTTGGCCCCGGGCAGAGGGCACAGTTGGGGGTGAAGCAGCTGCCTCTGAGCTTTGGGAAAGGTCAAGACTGGGAGAGCAGAACCCTGATAAACAACCATGCACTATATGCTACTGAAGCTTCTCTACTTGTATTTGTAAGTCAGCATATCCTTATGCCTCAATAATGCAATGCTCTCTGCCCCTTAAAGATATCGTAGATCTGCCATTACATTTTTGCAGTGTTAACTATAACATTTATTTATAAAGCAAGGAGGTTTAACTTTTATTGAGATGTAAAGTGCAGAGTTAGCTACATTCTATTTTTTTTTTCCTTTTGGCTGAAACCTGAACTAAACTGCAGGAATGGAATTTGTTAATTTGTGAGCTGATGAGCGCTCTTAACTTTAAATAATAAAACAAAAAATGGCTGCTAGAATGCAAGTGCCTTGGACTTCTTGGTGGTAAGCCTCTATTTTCAGCTTTTCCTAGGGATGGTACACTTGTGGGTACAGAAATACTGGGCGTTTGCAATCAACAGATGTGATTGTTTCATTTCATCTGAATTTACTCCTGGGAGAATCTAATCTGTACTGCAATTGCAAACATTTCCCCTGAAAAAGGGTAACGCTGACACTGAAGTGACACCTTTCTTTATATACTTTGCCTTGTCTTTTGATGTAAATGCAACAGTGTGAAAGGATGCTACTCTGTTGACTCAGATATTACCAGCTTTATATACAGTTGGGACTGTGGGCACTGCAAACAGAAAGAGGGATGCAGTGTGGCTATCATTAATTTATGTTTTTTGACCCCAGAGCGGTCAGTGGGAGGTCAAAAGCAGACAGAGGAATTAAAGGTACTGGAGTTAGTTCCACACAAGAATTTGGATTTCCAAAAAATGATCGGCCTTTGCCAGGGAGGATGGGAGCAGATTGATAAAATATTTGAATGTCCCTTCATTGATTGCTCCATCCTCAAAAATAATTCCTCATGGTTTGATCAGTATTGCTGCCTTCTGTTTCCTTTGAAAATGCTAGACATAACATTTAAGCAGTGTCTGCAATTCTGTGGGACATGCTTCTCCTGTGAAAACACTACTGCTGTGCTATAAGCGATCTTCAGGTATGCAGGTGAGCAGCTGCCGCTGCAGGTACAAGGAACTGGATAGCCTCAGGACTGAGGCAGCGGCTGATGGTTCCTGAGTGTGGTGCTCTCTGACTGCAATCCCATCCCGTACGCAGAGCTGCTGGGAGGAGAGAGATGAGAAGGGAGTTCTTCCACAGCTGGGATGGGGAAGCAACTCTGGAGCTGCAATCTTGTGAGCAGGTAGCTGGGGGATCCAGTCATATACAAAAGCCTCAAGGAGGAGAATACTTTGTGTGATAGAAAAGGGCTTTAATTTTTTTCTTTAACACATAAATACTCTGTAATTATATAGTAAGGACCCAGCAGTTAAATGTTGATAGTAATTACTGGGTGGGAGAAATCACTGCATGAATTCAGGGATAATTACAATGAACGGTCCTTATTTATTGTAGGTGTGGTCTGGGCCAGCTCCAGTATGTGGGGCAAAACAAGGAGCAGTGGGGAGCAGTGAAATGTTTCAGTGATGATTTTGTTATCTGAGTAATTATCTTGGACAGAGTGTGGAGTTTTTTTTTTTCACTGGGGTGGCTACAGACCCTCCTGTAGCACGCTGCTCTCCAGGAGCCCTTCTGTACACTGCCATGAACAAAATGTCTTTTATTCCTTTCTAAAAACCTGAGGTGTGCTCTTCTCTCTCTAATACTGGTAATTGGCCCTTGACAATAAAGCCTCCCATACAGGTTTCTTTAGAAATGCAAAAGTGGTGAGAAATTCACGGGGGTTTTCCTGGACCCACTTGCTGGTGCCCTTCTGTGGACGTCTTTGGAGCCTCCTAATGCCGTAAGAGCAGTGTTTACAAAGAAAGTGGCCTAGAGCATAAAGATAGGGATACCGTGTCAGCATTTCCCAGGTTCCCAGAGAAATTGGGGAAGAACGAGGGGGTCACAGGCACATGTGCACTCTCCTGGTGAAAACAAGGCCCTGGTGGCAAAGCTTCCTTTCCAGGGTGAGCAACAGCAAAGAGGGCCCTAAAAATGTGGGAAGAGTTGAACCTGCTGCTGCGGTTAAACCAGGGCTGTGGCTCCTAAGTGGAAGTTGCTTCCAATAACCTTTGAGCCTCTTGGCCCTCCACACACTGTACGCTTAAAAGAACCCCAACCCTACAATGTTTTACAGTCTGCCATGTCCTTCCCTCTCCCTTTCTCCAGTCCAAGCAAACTTGACTATGTTAAGGTTGTTTACAAGCTAGAGCAGCTTCCAGTTGACTAGTTTTGCATGACGTTTATTTATAGAAAGCAGAAGAGCTGGGGCAGGAGGGATGTGTATGTTTTCTTCCAAGGGGAGGGACTGTCCTGGTGGCTGCACAGCAACAACTGCAGTGTGACAGGAATTGCAGTAACACAACACCTATTTGAACAAAGGTGACGCAGAGGAGAGAAAACAGGGATATAGAAGGAATCCAAGCCCTTGGAGGATTCCAGCAGACTCTATAAAGAGTAAATGAGTTAATCCATTGTCACTGGGTCCTTCGAAGTTAAAAGCCAAACTGTTTCAAAGCTGGAAGCCAACAACTGATGGCAGCTTTTAAATAGCAATGCTTTTATGTGATTCTTGTTCTGCTCGGGACAGAGAAGGCTTTGATTTGTCTGAGCCTGTTGTCTTGTGCTAGTTCTCAGCCAAGG